AAGGGACACGCCTGCTCATGACAGCCAGTGTCACGTGACACGTAGTGCTTCAAATCACAAATACCTGAATGACATTGTCACTACCCCAGTCACCCTGAGATCATATAACTTGACTAGATCACTATGTCTGCAATTACACCAAAATTTTGCTATTTGTAAATAAACATTTGTACACATTAATCATGAACAAATATTTGTTTCAAGGATCATAGATCGAAACAACCTGCAAGAACTAAACACCACGCACCACGGATTTTTGTCATCCAAGTACGCAGCTGATAATAATAACCTTTGGTACAAAGTTTTTGTTTCACTTTAGTTTTAAACAAGCGCGTGCGGTGCGTGAGCACCCTCTGAACAACGTTTATAAAATATTAGTCATACTAAATGAAAAAAGTTTTAAAGCAATTGTACAAAGCAATCTTTCTATCTGTAAAAAGATAAAACAAAACAATGAGAGCCTGCTAGATCTAGAAAAGTATTACGTTTGGATGTAATATTCGTACTAGTTTCTAGTAGTAATTTTGTTCAATTATCGTCAGTAATTACAGAACGATTAGTGCCTTTTCACAATTTTTACAAATACTTTCTTATGCTCACTCAATCCACACCCTTTCAAAAAGAGCGGCTTTGTTGCAAACCAACCAATAGAATTACATTTCGTTTATGTCTAGATTTAGTAAAATTTGTAAATATCTAGATTTAGTAAAATTTTAACGTCCCAACTTTTGGTTTGTAAGTTTTACAAAGACCGTGAGAAGTTTAAGTTTTTTTAACATCTACCATTTCACATTTCGCTTCATGAACAATGCTTCGCAGTTAATAATCTGCTCCTTTGGCGCCTTTTCACTTTCAATAATAAGGATCAAATGCTTCATCAACTCAACACCAGCATCGCCATCGGTTGTAGAGCGACCCCGCGTGAAACCAAATTGTTTAGGAGTCATTAAATTATTACTGTAAAAATGTGAACAGATCGGGTTTTGAATATTTTTTTCAAATATTTTATTTAAACTGCGAGGTTTGATTCTTCCAGTTTCGCTGTTTAAAATATTCCCAGTCATATTTACTACAGTCGCGCTGTTTTTAATTGTATTTTTTAAAAACATTGTTCTAGCTGCAACACAAACACGCTTAAACATTCCAATGCAAGAAAAAGAATCAAAAGAACGGCGTATAATAAGGATGCATTTAATCGGTTGGATAACCATTAGATGAACGTGCGCGCATGGAAAGACTGCGCACTAAATCAGCAGTCCGCTCGAGACTTCGCCGACAAATCGGTTTCAAGGTAATGGAATAGCAATTCAAATTTATTTCTTTTCAGGCCGATATTGAATCGTTATAATGTGCACACTTAAATAATACATTTCCATACTGTTTAAGGACCCGGCTGAACTACCGGCCGATAGACAATCTGCAGTCTGCGGGGCGTCTTATGGTAAATATAAGCGAGGTCTTTGCCGAGAGACGCCATTGTCACGTGATTTTTGGTTGCGTTGACACTCGAGGTACGTAGACCAGTGACAAACAATCTAATTGTTCAATCTAACTGGATCAGAGATAATAATAAAAGAGCGTGGCGTTATCGCGCAGGGGCGCGAATCGCGGCGGCGCGTTATCGCGTGGTACCGCGACCTTGTGCGAGACAAACACGCTCGTCTTTCGCCGTAAACGTCATCTTTAATTAATTACATAACAAACATATCATTCGAGTACGCACCACGTGATAATAGCGGACACGTTGGTGGTGATGCCGGAGCAGTCGAGCGAGATGTTGAAGTCCGCGTTCTCGTTCATGCGCACCAGATCGTAGTACAAAATCGTGGAATCGGACACTTCATATACGGCGCCGCCGGTCGTCGCCGTCGCCGTCGCCGCCGCCGCCGGCTCCGCATCGCCTGCAACATTGCACCGCCATACTGTAGTTGAAACTCGACACCGGCACAGCGCCGCCCGACGCCTCTGCGAAGCGCAGGCGGGAGCGCAGCCGAGAGCGGCGGGGCGCGGCGCGGCGGTGCTCAGTGCCGAAAGGTGATAATAAAATGATCACAATCGAAAGTCAAATCTACCATCTACCGGTACGCAATACGATAGGGAACGAAGCGGTGCCCACTAAGATAAGAGCGACCTACTCGTTACTCACAAGCGGAGGGGCCGCGACGACCCGCGGCCAAATGAAGCGGCAAAGAACCTCGAGTCCAACTAAGGCGCTACGGCAAACGGCGGATAGTTCCGCACAAGCGACGCGAGAGACGCTCTCGACCTGCGGCTGGCGCTACCGATCTAACTACGACGGGGACGGACCGGCTCGGCCAAGCGGAACAAACTACGGCCGGAGGCGGCGTACCGGCGGGCAGCAGCCGCACGCGCACGCGCGGCGCGTCGGGCGCGCGCGAGCACGCGTACTGGCCGGCGTGGTGCGGCCGCGCGGCGTCCGCGGCCAGACGCGCCGTCAGCCCGCCGCCCGGCGAAGGCGCCTCGCTGGCGCGCATGTCGGGCGGCGGCGCGCGGCCCTCCAGCCGCCACTCGGCGCGCTGCTCGACGCGCAGCTCGCACTCCACCGCCAGCGGCGCGCCCTCCACCGCCGTCTGCGTGCGCTCGCCGCCGCCCTCTGCGCACGCGCACGCTCAGCGCCGGCTGAGGGGCCGGCTCGTGGACCCGGCACCCGAGAGAACTTAAAGCGGCTTATAGTGGAAGGAGGAAAACCGAACACGGATTTCACATTTCGAGCGCATCCCTGTCGAGTGATAGGCGAACCCGTCGGTTGATTGAATGTTCCAGACAATGCGCCTGACCGGGTGAAACGCGAGTGTGGCGACCGCCTTATGCTGTTGAGTATGTACATATCGTTACGCTGATAATGCGGCAATTAGATGATTAAGTGAACGCTCTCTGTAAATATTTGACAATTCCAATAAAGCTCTTTATTATTCTATTTATCAAATTATATTACACCGCACTAGAGGTACGCTCCTAAATGTTACTCATTACGACTACCTATTTTGTATCTCTGTTACAAGGATGGTAAGGAAGCGATAAAAAGCAGAAGGCCGTTCGAAGCCCGAATGTTTGCAATTACTGTAATTCCGCCCATGTGGCAGAGAATATTTTTCATCATTATTGGCGAGGAAAAGGTATCTTATTAAATTTATGTACGCCATGCCATACATGGTACATATAAGCGTCTCATAAAAATGATAAATTAAAAAATGAATACACGTACATTCGCTTTAATAAACAAAATCAAATAGTCCACTGATGTGGGGTGACGGTAGTGGACGAGCCGGCTGTATATCTGCGCTTCTAGCGGCTTCTACGGCGGCGGCAGCGTTAAAATTTGAAAGAATCATTACCACCCTAGAACCCCATAATAAAAATATAACTTAATTTTCCTGCACATTATACTACTACATACAAGCGAGTGTTGTCAACTGTATGTTACTATAGTTGATCTCATGAAATTATTCTCATTGTTATTTTCATTGGAGACATTCTTTATTACTTGTGAAACAAATTAATACTGTAACATGAAAATATCTGATAGAAGTATATATTATAATAGTTAGTCTATATACAGTCCCACTGCTGGACACAGAACTCCTCTCACAATTAGAAGGCCGGGGCTGAAGTTCCCATGCAAGCCCAAAGCCGACTGGAAACTGCGCAAACATCATTAAATAAGGGTGAATCCTGGACTCAAACCCACAACCCTTCTGCTTGAGAGGCGGAAGGTCAAACCATCAGGCTGACATGGCAAATTTTTTTTTTTAATTAAAATATGTACTTACATATTTTAATTAATAATATTTAATGGAGGTCAAATGCACAAGTGTGCTCTCGCCTCATGGAAAGTGACGATGAGGTCGATGATGGAGCATGCACACCTAAATAATGCCTATACACTCTTGCCTTGAAAAAGTCCAAGTTATCGTTTCTGTTTTTCATTTGTGTTTGAGGGAAGTGAATAGGCAGTAAATATATGTATAAAGCATTGCTGTTCAATGGCCCCTTTCCACAGAATTCAACCTTGAAATTTCTGTGGCCACTAAAAAGACAACACTCGATATGAAAAAAGCCTCTAGTGTGTTCAGAATTGGACAGCTCATGCATGACCAGGTGGAACGCTCTCTGAAGAAGACTCAAGGGACAAACTTAGTACATCAATAGTTGAATTGAGCAGTAGTAGGATTGCCATCTCAATTTTATTTACTTTGTTGATTAATTTTAACTGTTTAGTTAATATACATAATATTTCTTTCAAAGACATAAATTATTATCACAATATTTTCTATACTCCTTTTGTGTTAAGTTACACATTGTTCACAAAAATTTCCAACATAGAACCTCAAAAAGTATAGTCTTGATTTCGTTTGGGGGAGAAGAGTGATATTACAACCTACTTTGACTTACAATTAAAAATAGATTTTAGAATTAAATGTAGAAGAATTAATAATGTTAGAATTAAATACACATTTTAGGTAAAGCATTAAATAAAGGAATTGCACCGTATCGCATCGCATCGCGACGGCGACAAACCATCTCCAGTATCCAGCCCACTACTACCCTACTCATGTGGATCTAACCCACACCATGTAAAAATAGATCTGAGAACATGACAAGTATCCAATATGAATATAATTTGTATAAATGGTAAGAAGGGCGCAAAGCAATGACATCATCGCAAGTGTCTTTGTTAATTTCACTTATTGATCAGCCGCGGCCGACCTTCGCCTGTGAACCTCCGCGGCCGCCTACGTCTCGTCCACAGCTGCTTGACTGTGGGCCCACCATTATCGCTACACAAAGAAACTAGAATGTAGGTACTTACTTTGAGCGTTCGAGGGAACTGCGCTGACTAAAAATAGAAGCGCCAACGGCAGACACGAAAGTGGCGGTCGCATGTTTCTCAGACTTAGACGTGCACTTCTATTAATTATACGAAAAGAACTGTCACTAGCGCCCCAGCACTTCGCCCTGCTGAACGCAAGCAAGATTCAATGACTATTTGACTAATCGCCAAAACAAAGATAAAGACCAATGCAGCAAAATGGCGCAGTGAATGGAATGGTGAACTGTGAATGAGTGAACTGACCTCCACTGTGATTGCGCCCCACTTCTGTGAACTCGCTCCCCGTCATCACGGTTTACAGCTGACATTGACAGATTACGTTTGGTGTGGCCTTAGAGAAAAATCCTCTAAGAAAAAGTTTTTTTTTTTTATTAATAATTTTGGCTTGGATACAAGTCCTTTGAGCCATGTCGTTTAATTAGGTTTCCGTAAATATGGCCGCCACAAAGAGGGTAGGCAATTTGAGGCGGCGGCATACTTGGATTGACTCGGAATTCCTTAGAACGGGCATTTTAGATTCGTATAATTTCGCGTTTTAATCTTCGATTAAGGCACGATAGCATTATCCTATTCCACTTTAAACTAGATTTCACAAAATAATTGAAAGTCAAAATAAAAATGACACTTCCCACCAAAAGGCCCAGAGCGAATCAAAGAAAAAAAAAAGTCTTAGGGTGTGGCCCTTAGGGTCGTATTCCAGAACTCTACTCAATATGCTCAAGTCAGGATCTGAGTATGATTTCAAGCAGATAGGTGAGAAACAAAGAGTTCTAAGAGGTGTGCAAATTTTGTTGTTTTTTTTTAATATAGCGTATGCCTACCGTTGGGTAATTATCCAAAAAATTTCAATTTTCCGGAAAAATTCCCAAAAAATTTTGACAAATTGGAAAAATATGGTTTCGAAGGCTCATACCTCCAATGAACACTAAGTCAACTTAATTTTATTCTATATTTATACTAAATGTTTATTTACATCTCATAGATCCTCGCATGAACCCTTTTTCACTCTTTCTCCACCTTCCTAATCCCGTTTCCAAATTTCATGACTATGATCAGTTTCCCCGTTTCAAGAACAAGTCGAAGCACTTTGTAAGTGGCTGAAACGCTAACCGCGAAAAGCCAAGAAATTTCAAGAAATGTTCAAACTAGCCGCTGTTAGCCGCGCTGCAGCCGCGCGATTGTCACTATTCATACAATTTCTAGAAGCGCTGCAACGCGACTAACTGCGACTAATTTGAACGCGCCCCAAGGGCCCATTCAATAGCCTGTACTGCAGGCAGCCTGCCCGGCCGTCCACCTCGCAATGCAAGGATGTGAACTACATTCACAGGCTGAACTACTGGCTGGCTAAATTGTCAAGCTTGACTTGCTCTTGACTGTACATACGTGAGCTACGGCCGTTTTGTCGCCACAGCGGCGCACGCATGCAAATGTGTTGCGAGCTTTTGTTGTAACGCCTCGCATATTTTTATTTGTTTGTCCTTTTTGTTATTCAATATTATTTTCAACATTTTTATTTTTGCTTGATGTTTTACTTGTGCTGTTACTTTTTTCTACTAGTTTTTTTTTTTAAATGCCATGTGTGTGTATTTTGTGACAAATCATTCGTGTCTTTCTCGAGGTATGTTTTTCTAATGGGGCTAGTATTGAATGTTTCCATTTTGAAAAAAGTATTTTTCTGTACATTTTTCCTTTATTTTCCACATTATTTTGACGTTGCAACTTGTCAAAAGTTAACGTTAATGAGCGAGAATAATGAAGCCAACAACAGGTACTGGTGGCGTGATTATTGGAGATTTATTTTCGCTGTTGTGAAATCATTTCAAATCTCGTTTTTCAACATGTGGCTTTTAGCTATACAAGTTTATTTTATAATTCACGTTAAATAAATTTCAAAAGATATTTCTAAACGTAGAACATAATATGAGAAAGTTCGTCGTTCATTCTTCGAAGTTATATTTTTCAAAATTATCAATTTTTTCCGGAAAAATTTCCACTGTTTGAAATTTTTCTTAAAATTAACCAACATTAAATGAGGCGGACATGTACGTACGTACGTACATAGAATAACTAGCCCTGTACCCCACCTACGGTGGGGTCGGGCTCGGCCTGCGGCGCTTGGTCGGTTTCAGTTTGCGGGATGTGCTCGTGCTCTTCGGTGGCACAGTAGTTAGTACTAAGGGCGCTTGATGAGGAGGTCGATTCCCGATTTATGCCAATTTAAGAAACGAACATTTCTAAGTTGGTTTTGGTCTGAGTACTCTGGGTTATCGTTGATTTGGTATTCATAGCACCTACATAGTACAGGAAATTCGGCAGTAGTTTGGCATTTTTTCCCCGTAAATACTTCTCTTTGGCATAGCTTTCAAGAAAATGAAACCTAACATAGAGACGGTTGAGATACAACAACGCTATAATAAGTATCTCATTTCCACTACATCGGGAAGCATGCTTTACATTTTTACAGTTGTGAGATCTTGTACTCGTAATCTATTACGTCTCCGTATATTATCTCCATTTGATGGCGAGCGGACGCTTCGGGCTTCGCCCTCCTGCCTCGGCACTTATGGCTTTGTTCTAAAAAATTGAAATAGCTCTTTAATGGCGGTCATATTTAAAAATTTCAAAAATATATTTTGACCACTAATTATTATCAAACAATCTTAGAAATCTTTTCGTGCCAATTTTCAGTCCGAGCAAAGCTAGTTTTTTCAATAGTCATTTACATAAAAAATTACGGCTATATCGAAAAACGGCAGAAACAAAATGTTTACCCCAAATTGTGATTGCAGCCATGCGATTTTCAGTCAAATTAGAAGAAATTTTTATCTACCGCCAAAAAAGTTTGTGTGGCAGCCATATTGAAAAATGGCGAAAAATAAATTTTGAAGGCTAATTATTATTAAACACTCATAGAGACCCCGATATGTCCACTTTCAATCGAATTAGAGCAAATTTTTATCTGGCGCTAAAAAAGTTTGTATGGCGGCCATATTAAAAATCGCGTAAAATCATTTTTGATCACAAATCAAGCGCTCCTAGAACCCACACATGCACATTTTCAAAGGGATCAGAGAATTTTTTTCTGCCGCCAACGAACGCTTCTATGGCGGCCATATTTGAAAATGGCGACAAACCAATTTTGACCACAAATTATTATCTTCGTATATTATACTTCGCCACTTCTTCTTCCTCTTTGGCACTTATTTGGCCTCCGCATGCCAATTTTCAGCCGAATCAGAGCAAGTCATTTCGGCAGCCATTTTTGGCGAAAAAAAAAACGCTTATATGACAGCCACATGGTTAAGGTCTCCTAAAGACCCCCGCATACCAATTTTTAGCCGGATCGGAGCAAGTTTTCCTTCGGCCGCCATTTTTAATTCGCCATCTTGTTTTTTTTAACCCAGGTCAACTGACCACTATTAATCTCTATGACATTCCTTTGAGCAGCTCCTACCTATCTCTAATAGTTTCCGTGGTAGGAGACTTTGAAATTTGTATGGCGGCCATCTTATTTATTTGAATATCGATCATTTTTTACTTCCGGCGGAAATTGACCAGGTGTACCTCATAAAAGTGCACAAATATTCCCTCCATATATTATAGTTTTTGCAGGCCGTTGATCACTCTTTCATATTTTTCACATTTAGGTCTTCTCACATTTGATTCTTTGCTTTGGAATCTATCCGCGTACAACGGTATAAATATCTTTTTTCCACCATATCGGGAAGTATGCGATCTATTTCTATCAGTGAGTAAGAACTTGAAGCTTTACATATATAATAATAATGATCAAAGCCCCTAAATAAATAGAGCAAAAAAAGTTTTACTGAAGTAGGTTGTGAGTAGGTCAATGGAATATGGATGATTCAATAATCGAAATTCATCATCTAATTTGTGGCCATAGGTAGATATTTTCTACATATTTATACGAGACAAGTACTGAGACTTACCCCTTTTCCAACAAAATAGGAATCATCGAAATCGTTTCACAAACATTGGAGTAGGTAATCGCGTTTATATAAACAAAAAGAAATACAATCGAATTCAGCACCTCTTTTTTTTTAGTCATGTAGGGTATTTTTGCAGAAGTTCACATCAAGCTGACTAGATGGCACCAGCTGTTCTGAGGAAAAGTGCTTTAAATCATTAAATTCATCAAACATTAAAATATCTATTTTGTTATTGTAGGTACAGGGTTTACGTTATAATAATAATAGCAAAACACACACTCATAACCCCGCACTAGGGGAAACCTTGTATCGCGGGTGCCATGGACACACAAAGACAACCACAAATTACGCGTAAACTCACGAGAAATTGTAGGGCATACAAATATTTCCCTGGCCTAGGAATCGAACCTGGAACTTTTGCGTGGTGGTCCAGCATGGTAACTGTTCGGCCGCCTGTGTGGCCTCAGTATGATGAACAATTATATATATTTATTAGTGTATCAATCAATAGCATTACATACAATTTACAAAGAATTAATAAGCCGTTGGTCGCGAGCCAATTACAGGCAACAGAGTAAACAACATACAACAAACATTTCCATTTTGATATTGGACGCTGTTTGTGACATCTTTTATTTTTAAAAGGGCAGACGCTGCCAGTCAGTGGCCAGGAATGAGAGATAAAACGTTCCAACATCAAATTTATTAATATAATAATACTATAAGATTATGGTACCTATTATTAAGTGGCTACAACAGTGAGCGGAATCTGTCGACGGTAGTGACCGGCGCCGGCGGGACGCGGTCCTGCTCCGCCGTAATAAGCCTCTCAGACAGGCAGCACCTGACCCTGAGAGACGGGCGAAGCATTTCGAGATTCTCCTCTATTGCACACAACACAGTCTGTAAAATAGCACTCCTTTTATTCGGACACTGTCGTACAGTCATACTAAGAAGCACGTCTACAAAAATCCTCTGGTAGAAACAGTACCTCTGATTAGAAACAATCTTGATTACTTTAATAGACGTCAAAGCGCTATTTTACATTCTGCAAGAATTAATCAAGTTGAACGACAGTTGAACGAACACCGAAACGTTCCGCTAATCACAGGTTTTACACGTCTATTCTAAAGTATTCCTTAGGAACAAATATACATACGCAGTTACGTTTAGGAATATACTACAACTCTAAAACCTCTTATTGTAACCGTCACCCTTAACATTCGCGTCGGTCGCGCTGGCGACTCGCGTTCGAGTCACCAAACAGGTACAGCCTTAATTTTTGGTATGAACATCTGACGCAGCCTGCGGCACCTTCGGCGCCCGGCGCCCGGCGCCCCGGCGCGGAGCTCACGCCCAGATCTGCAACAAGCGGCCGGTGAGACGACGACGACGGCGGCGACGCGACGGGCGGCGGCGGCGGCGGCACGCACCCGCAGCGTGGCGTCCCACGAGGCCGTGGCCAGCGCCGTGCCGTCGGGCGCCAGCTGCACGTGCGCCACGCGGTGCTCGTGGCCGCACAGCACGCACACGCGCGCGGCGCGCAGCGCGTCCCAGGCGCAGGCCGTGTAGTCGGCGTAGCCCGCGAACAGCAGGCGGCCGCTCACCGACCACTCCACGGCGCCCACGCCGAACAGCACGCTCTCCTTGGCGTAGCGGGCCACCTCGCGGTCGGCGCGCAGGTCGAACAGGCGGCAGCAGGCGTCGTCCGAGCCCGACGCCACCGAGTCGCCCGACGGGTGGAAGCGCACCGACGTCACGTCCGAGTCGTGCGTGTCGAAGGCCTGCACGGCCTGCCCCGTGCGCATGTCCCACACCAGCACCTGCCGGTCGCAGGCGCCGGACACGAACGTGTCGCCCATCTCCGAGGGCGCCAGGTCCACGCTCATCACGTCGGCGGCGTGCGCCTGGAAGCTCTGCAGCAGCTGGCCCGACTCGATGTCCCACAGCGCGCAGGTGCCGTCGCCGCTGCCGGTCAGGATCTGCCGGTCCGAGTTGGGGAAGAGGCAGCACGACAGGTACGAGCTGTGCGTGGCCACCGTGCGCTTGCGCTGCGCCGCGTCCTCGCCCTCCCTCTCGCCCAGCGGGAACACCGTCACCTTGTTGTCCAGGCCGCTGGAGACACGGGCGTCGATTACTCTTCTCGTGCGATCACGAAACACTCCCGACGCGAGTGCGAAAGAGGCGGACTCACCCGGCAGCGACCATGTTGCCCGAAGGAGCGTAGGCGCAGGCCATCACCCAGGTGCTGGGCATCGCGATGGTCAGCTCCTTGGTGGCCGCGAATGCATCCCAGATGATGAGTTTGCCGTCCTGCAATGCAGGTGAAGTGTCATATCAGCGGGCATTACACGGACACTATCGCGCGCGGATGAGCGCGCGCGTAAAGACGTCGGAAGGAAAAGGAAAAGACCGCACGATTGCGCTCATCAATCGCGCTCTCCAACACGCGCCAGTTTCGTTCGAACGCTCTATCCATTGTAACAAAAACGAACAAGAGCAATCGCGCGCGAAAGAACGTTCGCTTGAATCTGAAATAGGTAATCGAGCACGATTGCGCATGCACGCACGCGCGATAGAGTGACTATGTAAAGGGGGCTATTATTTTCAATAACAAATGCTTGCAATGTCTTGCTACTTTGGTAGCACTCGAGCTCCTCGTGAAGAGTTCGTCAGGTGAAGTACTTTATTTTATTTATTTATTTATTTATTTATTTATTTCAGGCAACTAGGACCCATAGATACATACCTTACAGACTAACATACATATAATATAACAATAATATAATAAAACAATAACAGAAATATTAAATAAATACCTTACGGACTAATCATAAATACAATATAACATGATAATATACATATAACACTATTTATTTACACGTATGTACTTCGACGTGTGACGCAACGTGAGTGTCCGGTAGCCGTCCTCGGAAACGCCGGTATATGACACCCTTCGGCCAAAAGTCTTCTCTCATGAAGGTCGACAGGTGTTGAGTTGGTACTCGCACCACAAATGAATTAAAATTCACGTTGTGGCGCGACTCCAACCGCTCGACCCTCAGGTTTGCATTGGCCTTCACTCGCATGTACTCCACAATATCCGCAGACTTGGTGGAGTAATGAAGACGCGACACGTATAACAACGTCGTCGGTACCGCTGGACGCAATAAATGATTCGGGCCAGTCAGGGCGGTGCCACTAAGGTTTCGGCTGATGTTCTTCTTTTTCTTTTCCACCTTCCGAAAGCCGTCCTCGTCGCACTGATCAACTCGTCTCGGTGGTACTGACGACGCAGCTCCAGATACGAGTTTCTTTTTCAGTTTTCCCTTCATTGGTTGCCTGGGTTGTGGTTGTGGAGTACTGGGTCGGGCAGCGGCAACAGCTGCGTAATCACGTGAAGGGGTCGTCTCCGGCGGGGCGGGGTGCGGGGAAACGCGCGCGGCAACAGCGCCAGAGGTCGGTGACACATGCATGTCAGCCGACTTAAAACTGCTGAAAGAAGCATTTTGCGCCCCGCGACAAGTGTTCACGTTGCAGGCCTCAGGTGACCTACTTACCGAAGCCGCACTACTAAGTAATGCAACTTGGGCACGCAACTCACTGATGGTGTTGTCTGAGGCCTCCAACTTACACTGAACTTCAGCAAGGCTTGCTTTTAGGGACGTGATGTCCTTCAGCAGCCTGGTGACGTCGACGTGGTCGAACGTGACAGGGGGCAGCTTATGCAGCTCCTTCGCCACGAATGCAGGCACGTCGTCTGGGTCGGTCTCCTTGAACAACGTTATGATGTCCTGGAGACTCTTCACTCCTCCATCTCTCCGACGAGACGGCATCTGCTCGGCTTTGCCAAACGTCCGGAAAAGCAGCGCCTTGCCACTGCAAATCTCTTCTTCTTTGAAATTTGACTTGCAGATCTGCACGATGCTGACTTCGTCCATGGTATCTATGGCGTGTTGTATAAACGCCAACAGTTCGTTGGCTATGAGTTGCTGAGAACCCATAGTCAATTACGTGCAGCGGCTATTGCCGCGCGGGTCGCGAATTATTATAATTCTTATTGTGTAGTGGAGCACGTCCGAATCCGAGCGTGCACCGCACCACAAAAATGTACTGCCACCTCAACTACTCCTGCCGCCAAGAAGTAATGTGAGCGTTAGGTACTGCGTTCCAGTTTCGAAGGGTAAGGGTGCTGATGAAATTACAGGCACAAACGACTTGTCAACTTATGTTTCAGGGTAAAGGCGCAGTGACAATATTCCTCACACTTCTGCGCTTCCAGGCTTGGAGTGGCACTGCAACTGCTATAAACAGGCGAGTGGCTTAACATCACGAACAAGCCGCGTTGTTCGTTCTGTCATTTGGTATCATAAAAACGTCTACAATTGGTTGAGATTTACCTGCGAGGAGGAGACAATATGACGCTTGTCAGGGGACCAGTCTGAGCAGAGCACCTTGGCCTGATGACCTTTGAGCACACGCCGCAGTTTCAGATTTGGGAAGTTGACCGGCTCCAACCGCTCTGCCACACATGACACTGCAAACAGTATCACAATTTTTATTTAATTTAATTTAATACTGACATATCAGAAAAAGAGAATGCAGAGGCAAGTTATAGAATTTGCTTTGAAGTCAAACGTGTTCCGCCCGTCATTTTTTCGACGTGATCCTCCCAAAATGGAAGTGTGAGTGAGTGATTTTTTTATATAACAAAAAAAAGTAATGCGAATAAAAAGTGTAGTGCAATAAATCGGAACTAGTGAAGTATGTCATTAGCTCATATATGAACTATAATTTTAACAATATTATGCCTAATTAATCGTGTAACCAATGACACTATACTATTAATTTAGATAAATAAGACATAAATATGCAAGTTAAGAACTATTTATGGCTACTAATATAGATAAATTATATGAAAAATTGCTTAAAATTAAAAGTACTTTGGTAAAGTTAGTTACAGAAAAGAGAACAAAGAAAAAATTTAATGAAAAATTGTCAGCAAATTTATAGTTTGAGGAATTTGGCAAGGAAGCAAAAATAGTTAATCAACAAGTTCAGAATAAACAAATAAAGACAGAAACACTAATAGGAATACAAAGAACTATACAATACTTTGAGGAAACCTATAATCAAATCGTAGATTTTTGTTCTAAAGATTATACTACATATAGATAAAAGCGGCACTATGGAGAAATTCGAGTTCAAAACTGCTGTATCCTTATTGCCGGTTCTTCTTCACCGGAAGATAAAGTTACAAAAAAAATTTATTAACTCGATTGAACTATACAGTTCCATGTTAAAGGACACAGATCATTTCTCATTCATATAACATCATGTCTTTCAAAAACGAGATTGACAGAAAGTGCGAAATTGCGCTTAGCTGAAACTTACGCTGCTGTCGACTTATTGCTGAAAGCCATGAAGCAAAACTTATTACCCAAAAAATCTTCCACCGCGGTTCACGCTGAGTTAATAGGTATAAAACAAAATTACTTATCAATTAATGATTACGGCAAAAAGATAGAGAAATTATTTGTGGATTTGACGATTTCTCAGGCCGACGGAGATAAAAGCGCCTACAAGGTACTAAAACCTTTAAATGAACAATTGGCGATCAAGCGATTCATTAGCGGCTTAAGAAATCGTAATCTTAGCATCATTTTAGCGGCCCGTGATTACACTTCGCTTAAGGACAGTATAAGAGCTGCGAAAGAGGAAGAATTATCTTGTGTACGACCAGAGACGGAAGGAGCAGTGTACTTCGGACAGCGGTCAAGAGGTAATTATTACAATTTCAATTCAAGGAATTCCAGAGGAAGAATGTTCAGGAGTAGAGGTAACATTCAACGGGGAAAATCTTACGAGTGTAATCAGCAACCGTCGACATCAGCGTTAAGTAACTACCAAAGGCAGCAGAACAGTTGGACAACACGTTCTCGCCCGAGCACTCGATCGAGAGGTAAGTTTTATTACAATAGTCACAGTCGTGGAAATACCCGTAAACATCATGTACGATGCTTTGACCAAAATGATACACAGAATACAACACAACAAAATAACGATCAAGTTAACATCAACGAATTAGAATTTTTTCGACCCTAATAATTGTATATTGACTTGCGAGTTTAACAACTCTATATCATTACCTGTAGGCAATATTTCGAAGCAATGGCTAGTAGATTCTGGAGCATCTTTATCAGCCGTGAAACTAGAAACCGTAAATGAGTTGAATGTACATAAACAATCTACATTCGTTAATGGTACAGGTGGACAGTTGCGAACAGAGGGTTATGTTTATTTAGACGTTGCCATTTGTGGACAGTTAATTAGTCACAAGTTTCATGTTTTTAAAAAGATTCCATGTAAGATCAATGGAATAATTGGCCAAGACTTTGTAATTAAATATAATTGTAACAACAACTATGAATTAAATAAATTTAGTTTATATTACTTAGACGAATGTTACACGATACTATTAGAAAAACAAACAAAAAATGATTACATTACTGTACCTCCTAGGTGTGAAAGGATATTTGATATGTATAGACACAAAATTGTCAGAAGATTGTGTAATAGAGTCGAAAGAATTATGTCAAGGTGTATTTATTGCAGGGGGAATCGTTAAGCCACGCTCAAATAAAATTTGTATTCAAATACTGAACATCCGCGACGAAGAGGTTAGTTTATTCTATTTCAGTCCGACAGTCGAAAAGCTTAAAGATTATACAGTATGTGATTACAAAAAAAAGTGAGATTACGATAGAAAGGGTAAAGGAAATGTGAAACCAATTAAATTTGTCTCATTTAAATTCAGAAGAAAGGAGGGAAATCCAAAATATTTGTGCAAAGTTTGCAGACGTATTTTTCTTATCAGGAGATAAATTGTCAACAACACAAAATTCAGTTAAAAGCAAACTCGGATCAAGTTTGTGTCATGCAATATAGGCTCCCTTTTTCTCAGAGGGCAGGAATAGAAAATCAAGTAAAAGAGACACTAAAAAATGACATAATTGAGCCCTACCGTAGCGAATGGTCCAGTCCTGTTCTCCTGTTACCGAAAAAGACTGACAACGGAAATAAAAAATGGAGATTGGGAATTGATTTTCGAAAACTGAATGAAAGACTAGTAAATGATAAATTTCCCCTACCGAACACTACCGATTTATTGGATTCACTTTCCGGCGCCATGTATTTTTCACATTTAGACGTAAACCAAGCATATTATCAGTTAAGTTTAGAACCAGAGAGTCGTAAATATATTGCATTCACCACCCCAACAGGTCAGTACCAAATGAAATGGTTACCAATGGGGTTAAAAACCAGTCCCAGCTCATTTTCTAGAGCCATGACAGTGGCCATGTCGGGACATAATTTTGACAAATGCTTTGTTTATTTAGATGACTTGATTTGTTTTGGTAGAAACTTAGACAGTCATTATTGTAACCTTATAGATATTCTGAGTAGGCTTCGAAAAGTAAATTTAAAACTGAATCCCGCCATGTGTGAATGTGCGTATGTACAAACACAATCGACTATTTACGTAAAACCTAACAGCCAATCATGTTGCACTCGAGAAGTCTTCGTGAGGGAATTAGGGTTATTGTGTAAAAAAATAAATATAGACACAATTTATGTAGTAAAAGATGGAAATAATAATATATTTATACAAGAGTTAACTCTAATAATAAATAAAATATTGTGAGAGGAATAAAGAAAATTAATGACAACGACATGAAAAGGATATTGCTGAACGATTACCACATGCTGCCCACAAGTGGTCATGCTGGTATTCGTCGAATGCTGAATAATTTACGTAGAAATTATTTTTGGACAGGTATGAAGAAAGACGTCACAGAATTTGTAAAAAAATGTGACAAATGTCAAAGAAATAAATACGGTAAGTATACGAAAGAACCGATGGTGATAACGGATATAGGCAAGTGTTCTTTTGATAAAGTATTTTTAGACATAGTGGGTCCGTCGGTAAGTGACAGCAGTAACTACAGGTACATTTTAACAGTCCAGTGCGACTTGACAAAATTCGTCGAGACCTACTCAGTTCAGTCTAAAGACACGGTTACAATAGCATCAAGTTTTGTCAATAATTTTATACTTCGTTACGGAATTTCAGGTAAAATTGTTATGGATAAAGGAACCAAATATATTTGTAAAGTAATGCAAGAGGTCTGCAAATTACTCAAAGTAGAACAATTGAATTGTACAGCCTACCATCACCAAACAATAGGTTCACTTGAAAATAATCACAAACATTTAACAGCATTTTTAAGAATTCAGACAGAAAATAATCCACTTAATTGGAGTTCATGGTTACACTATTGGTGTTTCTCATACAATAGTACCGTACGCACTGACACTAAATACACTCCCTACGAGCTTGTATTTGGTAAATCAAAATAAATTATAGTTGAAGCACTATACAATAACGATGACTATCCATTACAACTTACTATCCATTAGACTGCAAAAGGCACAATATGATGCTAAAACTAACATTGTGAAAAGTAAACTAAAAAGGAAAGGTTACTACGACACTTATGTGAATTCGATTATGTACAAGACAGGCAAATTTGGACAGTAAATTGGACTGCTTATAGTCGGGTCCATAAATTGTAATACAGGATAAGCAACCCAATGTATCAATTTTATATAAAGGAAGAGATGTTGGTACACAAAAATCAAAGTAAAATGTAATTTAAATAATATTGCATATGTTAGATTTAAAGATAATACTGTAAGCTGTACACCCCTCTCGGCTGTGCACCGTCCTTCACCACGTTATAAATGCAGAACAGGTCCAGAGCGAAGCATTTGCTTGTCGGCGCCCGCTCGGATATCATCGGTGACGTGAGCCATTTGTTAACGATTTTCTTATGTATTTTGTTACTTGTTACTACACACATCAAAAGTGTCTAGGGATCAAGTGAATATTTTTGAAATAAAAATTATTTAAGCAA